GGCCAACGGACAGAATAGGATCGACCAAAATTCTAAACACAACAAATAACTGACACACATGTCTTCTCCATTGACAACTTTACAGACCTCACTTCGGAAAGACTAAAATGGGCTAGTACATAACGTACTGGTGATCAGTAATGACCTCGAAACAGGCTTCTATGCCTTATTACCTTAGTGCAATTTCTACGAACCAGGGCTGCTTAATACTTTATAGTCGGTGGACTTTGTTACATTGACTAGTCACACGCTCACATCACACTTTCCCTTCCTACGTCCGTCCGTCCTCCCTATCCCCGCCCCACTCTCTATAAATGTAACAACAAGTTCATGTAGGTACTGCATGCTGAGACAATTAAGTGATGACCATGGCAACGGAAGAATAGGAATGCTCCTCTGGAGTTGCCATGGGCACATGTTAAAGGATTCCGAAGTAGGCACACGTTTATAACAGACAGGGCGCACGGCTGGACAGTAGATTGGTGTGCGGGATGCTTGCTGCAACGAACAACTACGACTTCGCCTTCGAGGCGAACATCACGAGCGGGGTGCTCGATGCGGATGGCAAGTTTATTGATACGTCGATAGAGGACAACTACTCGCGTAACATCACTAGATGCTGCCAGAAGTTCATCAGAGTTCTGTTCTCAGTGCTGGGCACACTGATCCTCCTCTGCCTGTACCTGGGCGTCGGAGCGTGGATGTTCCAGTACCTGGAAAAGAGCAACGAAGCAAATGCCTGCTACGACACCTACAAGCTCTACCTCGACCGACTGAACAACTCTATGATTCGGGCCACGGGAATTGTGAACTCGGGCCTGCCTGAGCAGGAGGTCAGTGCTCAGCTGCAAACCGCCATGACGGATTTTGCGGACAGCCTGTTCGCGCTCGATTTTGCACCCAGCACGAACTGCTCTGTCATCCACACTACGACCTTTGGATCAGAATGGAACTGGGTCAATTCGTTGTACTTCTGTGCGACAGTACTTTCCACCATCGGTGAGCTGGCATATCTGCCATATCGATAATTCTGTTAAATTCCGTAAATATTCCCATGGTTAAGTTTAAAAGTCAGTTTATGGCAAACATATTTTTTCAGCAACTCGTCAGCAGGCCAAACATTTGCAGGGGAAATGAACGCTTTACATAACAATTAAAGTTTAAATATGTAGAAAAATCAATAACTGTCTAACATGGGCGCTGACTGGCCACTGCGGACTATGTCAGTTTGCGCACGTAGGCCGGATCAGCGTGCTTGTTGAGAGACTGCCGTTAGTTGGTAGGGGCAAAAGGCTATCGCCACCTAGTGTCGGTGTAGGCCACGGAAGTGGAAGGGCTTCTGTCAGTGTCTTCTGACAACACAATACTGGATTTGCTAGC